GATTTCTCTTTCTGTCTCTCTGTCTCTCTCTCTGTCTGTCTGGTGAGCGCACACACCCTATAGCAAAAACCTCTCCAAAAAAAGAATGAAAGAAATATAATGGTCTCTACTTATTGCAAGAAATCATCAATGATATGTATGCAAATCAGGACATTAAATCTTAAAGATGGAAGGACCTTGGCGACATCAAGCCTGCAGTCACTGAGCAGGCCCCCATGTCCTGGCTCTAGTCTGACCCACTGATACTCTCATTTAGATGACGGAAATGACACGCTAGGTTTGGATTTCCTCAATCCTAGTCTCTGCCTAGCTTCCCCGTGAATCTGACCTTGTCACTTTCTTGTTCAAACCTCTTGACTGGATCCCTCTGTCCTAGGAAATGGTATCCAAGCTGTGAGTGTGGCATTTCGATACCCTTGGTAACCCGTGGCCTGTGTGTAACTCGTCCTTGTCCTCTGTAACCCCCGTGACCTTGGGATCCTAGCAACACTGATCGTGCAGCTCACATCCATGCCCTCTCACGTTTCTGTGCATTCGCAGCTATTTCCCTCTGCCTGGCGTGTGTGCCTGCTCCCCATCTGTTCAGAAAGTGCTTCTTTGTTCAAGACTTAGCTCTCTTCTCACCTCCTTTTGAAGCTGCCCTTGTTCTCCCCGATGGGCTTGGATGTGGCCTCCTGCGTGCTGACGCCGTATGGACTTACACTCCTCTGTGACACCTGTCATCTCTCTATTAGACTGCAAGCTCCCAGTGGAAAGGTCTGTGTCTGTGCACCTCTGAGGCCCTGGGAAACTACTACACGTTTAACACAGGGGGAGCTCTCAGTAAAGTGGAAAGCGTGAGAGGAGGAAGACCAGGAAGGAGGGAAACAGCAGGACAGGCAGTTAGATATTTAAATAAGTGGGAGGGGGCCAGAGAGGGTGCAGTGGCTTCGTAGTTCCATGCTTCGAGTTCACTGCTCTCACCAGCTCCTGTCAGAGATAGCATGGCTCTCCAAACCACACCTCCTAAGTTTCCATAAAATTGAGCTATTTTTCACTGTTGGCACAACAAAACCTTTCATTATCTCCCAGGTGCAACACATTTGTTCATATATTCTATAGCTCTGGAGCAAAAATGAATAAAAGAGTTCCTGTTCCCTTAATCTCCCAGGGGTTTCACCTTACAGCTTAGTGACCATATCAGCCAGTTTTATTTTTTGGAACCAGGACTAGGGACCTCATTCCTGCCCTCTCCCACCCCGCCCCTGTTCTATCCCTACCACACTCAGTCCTTCTCTCCCAGGTTTCACCAGGTTCTACACAATGAAAACTACGAGGAAAAAGGAATTTTTACTTTAAGAATAAAAACTCCTCCCCTTCCCCAATTTTTATATCAAAAGACCTCATTAAAAGCCATTCTCTTCTACATTTCGAACCACTGGTTCTCTGGGAAGAGGCAGGTGGATGATTAACAGGTATGGTCCCTTAGAGTCAAGTAGTCAATGTGGTAGAAGTGATTGGGTACAGAGGATTTCAGGCAGAAGCCTTGAGTTCTCGTTCTGCCTCCTTTATGCGTTAGCACCAAAACCTTGAGGAAGAAATTTCCAATTTTGGCGTGCCAAAACTTTGCTTGCAATTGAGAGGTTTGGGTTAATGATCGTCAAGGTCTTTCCAGCTCTAGCATTCAATAACTGCTATTTTGACATATTAAATTATCAGGAGCTGAAGTCAGATTTAATATTTACAAGAAAAGTGGTCAAAGTAATAAACCATTAATGTGCAGCTACACCCTCCTGTGTTAGGTGAGAATATTGACACATAAACGTCAGCTGATAATTTCTACTAGAAAACTAGAAGACACTTTTCTGATGAAGTTGTCTGTAAGCTCTCCTACAGGGACCATGAGCAAGAGAGTGGCTGTCATCGGAGCTGGCGTCAGCGGCCTGGCCGCCATCAGGAGCTGTCTGGAGGAGGGGCTGGAGCCCACCTGCTTCGAGAGGAGCAATGACATTGGGGGCCTGTGGAAATTCTCGGTGAGTTGTACATCATGGGACAGGGAAGGAGACAGGTCTCACTGCAAATCAAATTCAACCAAACAAAGTAATCTAACTCAAGACTTGGGAGCAGGTCACAAAACCCAGATCTAGAATGTCTTCTGTGACACTAATGTCCAACCTTACATCAATAGAACTTACCCTAAAAAAAGCGTCTCTGGCTGGTTGAGCACCACCTCCTGTACTGACGAGTCTGGCTCCCCGGGCTGTCAGGGATGGGAGTACTGGAATTTACCTAGCACATGTATCACCTTCAGTGTAACACAAAGGGTCCTGTCCTTCATAGTTCTTAAATCCCAAGAACACGGGAGTTAAAAAAAGACAAACCAATAAACTTGGACTGAGGTCCTGAAGTTAGAATCCTGAATTCAAGTCTCCACCCAGGTTTTCTAAGCAGATAGATTTTGAACAAGTTGCTTTTTTCTTTTTAGTCCTCAAGTGCTCATTTGACAAATGCAGAGATTAGAAATTAGGTTACCTTGAATGCTCTTTCGAGTCCTAGCAGGACATGATTCTGTAATTAAATGTCTATTGGGCAGACATAAATGATCAGTGATGTTCATGTGTGTTTATTGAACAGTCTACCAGGCCCAAATCCAGAGAGAACAACGGGTTTTACCATTCAGGCTCATTGTTGTAAGAAATAATATAATCAGGAAATGTTCATTACAAACACATTTTTCAATTCCAAAAGTTAGGTTTGAAATATTTAGCTTTCTGTCATAAATTTCCTAGCCATCATCAGTGGAGGTAGGTGTTGTATATTTGGCTTGAAGACATTCTAACCACATAGTCATCCTATAGGTATATTCTGTCCTGGTCTTAGTTATTGCCCAGCCTGCAGTGATAGCTCCTCCAGAAGAATATGTCAGGGCTAACTCAGAATACATGTGTAAGTCAGTCTCTTTCTCTGTCTCTCTTAAACTTTGGTTCTGTAACCCCAAAAGTATTATCTGTAAAACTATCATGTTTTATTTTCAATAAGGGAATAATAAGAGTTCATTTTCTGCAAGAATTTAACTTCTTTATTCACATTTGCTCAGAAAAAAAATGCAATAGTTTACTCTAAATAATGCCATGGCCCTCTGCCGTCTCACTAGCAATGACTAAATGCCTCTTAGGCACCTGTCCTGGCAGAGTTCTGTGTTCAGTACAGGGATGACAAACATGGGACATAATGTCTCTGTTAAACTGGTTCTCACTCTATTTGATGAAGCAAGCCTTAATGTAACCACCACCCTTTGACAGCAAAAGGGAGAAAACTCTTTTGATAACAAAATATGCCCTGAGGTCATAAGATCCAAAACCCTGAGTTGAGCAGACATGAGGCTGAGTCCCAGTCTGGGCTGTGCTGTAGAAATTTCACTGCATTTGTTTACAGGTTGCTGCCCTCGCTCTCGCTGGAAAGTTTATGAAGTAAAATTTTTAAATGTACACATTCCAAATATAACTGACTCTAAAATTTCAAATAAGAGATTATAGGACTTTGTAACAACCAGATGTGATGTGATTCTGTGACTCAGTGTCGGTTGGGCAGACATAAATGATGATCAGTGATAGTCGTTGGCGATTGTCAACTCCAAGGGCAATGACCTTGAATGTGCTTTCTGGCTTTTAGTAAAGCGTGGAGCTCAGAAGATCCAGGGTATCTTCCTACAGGGATAGCACTTAGCTGAGCACTTAGCTGTCCTCAGACAAGTACAGTAAAGTACTTGTCTAAAGTAAAGACCACAGTGTGACACGACTCCAGAGTGTTGTTCCCACCGCAGTCCATGAATGGCATCCATAGGCATATGTAGGCTCAGGCAGGAAGGACAGATTTCAAGGCAGGAATGACCAGCAACCATGACAGGCACAGAGAAGGAAATGGCATGGGAGGGGTCCACATGCTAGCTGGGATGGCCAGACTGGAACATTCATCTGAGGAAGCAGTAGTGAAAGATCAAGAAGATATGGAGCTGGACCCTGGGCTATGCATGGGAGGGGAGATCTCTTTCCACAGGGCAAGTGTATAAGCAAAATTCTGCTCGAAGACGCGGTGGGGATGTGGACACCACGGATACTCATAACTAGTCCCATGCATATGCCCTCTAGCCCTTCTTTCTCATGTAGGAAAAGTTGCTTGACACAATGCACAGAGGATTTTGGAAATTATGTTACATAAGCTTTCATCTCACAAGCCTCCACTAAGCCAGACGTGTTCTGGAGGAGCTTTCATCTCACAAGCCTCCACTAAGCCAGAGGATCTGGAGGGTAGAAACCTGATCATTCTGAACTTCTCACTACGTGCTTTTTCTGAGAAATCAAAACCAAATGGGGCTGAAACACTAGCAGGCTGAACACGAATATGTTTTCAGTTTCATATACTCCTATGTAAGGCCTACGTCCACACAAGATTTTATTGCTATGTCAATACTCTAAGAAATTGTTTGGGTCAGCCTGTGGCAAGGTGGTTAAGACAGTTGAACTCTCACATGGCCAACCGCAGTTTGAGTCCCAAACCCAGTAGCTTGTTTTCACTCTTTCTCTTTCTCTCTCTCTCTCTCTCTCTCTCTCTCTCTCTCTCTGTCCCTCTCTGGTCAAATTTAATAAATAAATAAAGTTCAGTAAAATAATTCTTAAGAAAGAAAAAGAAACATGCTGGGGACATGTGCATGCCCAAAATCCTGAAAAGAGGGAGAAGTGGAAGAAGAGGGATTATTACCTGACTGTCCTCCACGGGGGACACTACCCCTTAACCAGGGGAACACACACACACACACATTCTGGCAAATTAAAAAAAGTAAAAAATAAAAATAAAAATTGCTAAACATGCAGGTTAGCATCATTTTGATTGCAAAAGGAGACTATCTGAACTTTTTTCCCACTCATTCATTTATTTATACTTTCAACAAGAACATATCAAGTATATTATGTGCAGGGTGCTGTTAGGTGAGGATAAGCGGTCAGGGTTTTAAGAACAGAGAAAAAAATACGTTCAAGGACTTTAACACAAATGAATAGTGCTCAGGGCATAAAGACAATGGAAGTGCGGCAGTTGGTGACAGGGACGGTGAGGAAAGGCAGAATGAAGGAGGCAACTTTTGAGCAGGATCTGGAGGTGTATTTAAACAAGCAGAGATGAGGCAGACTGGAGCTGGAATATGGAAGAGGCCATGGCAGATTGCTAAAGTGCTTGTACACCCGGACTTTAGCTTCTGATCCGCCCTTAAGTTCCTTCTGTCCTAGTGGGAAGATGAGAGAGGAACACAGTGACAGCCCAGGGCAGACACGGGTCCTGTCCCCGCAGCTGCTTAGGTCTGTGATGCCAGGCAACCTCTCTCAGCCAGAGGCAGAGACTGAACTCAATTTCCTCCTCACTGGTTCAACCCACCCACACATTGAAATAATGAAAAAGCAACCTCTCTGGAGCAAGCGTCTGCCGTTATATAATACTTTTCCTTTGTTGGGAGTACAGCCTTTTAGGGAAAATTCCAAGAAGCTGCAGGGTACATACTTTTCCCTCCGCATATTATGATTGGCTGGGACCAAGGGGTAGAAGGAGCAGAGCCTCGTCCAAGAGGGAAATAAGCCAAGGCCTTATCATTTCTGCTTCCCAGAGCGCCGCCTTTTTTTTTCTGCTCCCCAGATCGTCTTCTTACATTTCTCAACCAGTCCCAGCCTGGGCCTCCTCCTTCTCACAGCTATCAACAAAAGAGGGCTCTGGGTGAGAAACTGAGAACCTGCTGGGCACAGGCTTTCGCCCTTTTTCTGACCTCTGTGAAGGTTCTGAAGTAAAAAAAAAAAGGAAAAGCTAACAGCAGCTAAAATCCTCGAACTTCTTTGTGAGAATCCCAGCACCCTGAGTAGAGAAGATTCCTTTTCAACCTGAGGAGTAACACTCCAGCCTCAGACCTTGCTCCTCAGCGAGGCTAAGAAACAGCGCTCTCAATCCTGCTTGGCACCTTTTGTCTCCCCCTCCCAGAGGTCAGCAGGGTGGTAGAGAGCGAGGTCTTGAATCCCATAGCAAGGCCATTCTGTCTCACCCTCCATTGCGCAAGAGTTGCTCAAGACCAGGGAGGTCGAGGCTGCCAGCTTTCAGATGTACTTTGGAAGCAGCACTTTGTGCACTTTGATGCTGCCCTGGCACCCGAGAGAAAATGTTTATCTTCGATTTAGCCTTTGACTGCTCTGTAAAAAGCAGCCACTTTTCAATTGCACAGTGGCTTTAAAAAAAAGTGCTGGGATTTAGCACTTGTTCCCAGGCATCTGTTTTCCTGTGTGGGGAGTGAATACCTTTAGATGTTGAGTTAAAGAACTCCTAGTGACCCAATTCATTTACAACAGAGCAGCAATTCTCAAAATGTATTTCCTGCACCAGCAGCAGCAGTGCCTGGAACTTGCTAAAAAGGCAAAATTTCGTCCATACCACAGACACACTGGATCAGAAATCCTGCAGGTGAACCTATGTTTAAAGGAGCCCTTCAGGGGGTTCTGATGACAGCACAGCTGGGAATTCACTTCAACACAGGGTCTTGTTACCAGCGAGAAACTTGCTGAACTCATAGCACAACCCCATAGGCTAAAAGTCTTAGCCTACATCAAAACATTTTGCTGTGTGTTTTACCATGAATATAAGATCAGAACCAGTGCTGGTACGGGAAAAAGGAAGAAAGCTCTCAGCAACATTAAGACAGACATAAAACTGGAGGTAACTGGAGCAAAGGGATTGATGTGGAGAGCGTGTCTGATCCAGAGCTTTTTCATGTTTTAGCATCAGAAGGCTTTAGTCACCCGGGAATTGAAAATTGAATATGCACTAAAAGGAGCATCACCTTTGTCTTTCTTTTTTCCTTTTTTTTTTTTTTTTGAGAGGTTTTGCTATAGGGCATGTGCACTCACCAGAAAGACAGAGAGAAACAGACAGAAAGCAAAAAAATCACCTCCCAGGGCGATGGCCACACACAATCCCTTCTCTTCCATTCTCCTCTTGGGATCTTGGGCACGCACATGCACCCAGCATGAATTTAAGCCACCAGGTCCAGGACCCAAACTACGGTCGACTACATGGGAGTCCAGTAACATAGCCATTCCACCAACTGCTCGTCCCACCTTTGTTTTCCTTTCTAAGCTTTGTTATTCTTCCTAGGACCATGCAGAAGAAGGCAGAGCCAGCATTTACCGATCTGTGTTCACCAACTCCTCCAAGGAGATGATGTGCTTCCCAGACTTCCCTTACCCTGACGACTACCCCAACTATATGCACCACAGCAAGCTCCAGGAGTACATAAAGACGTTTGCGCAAAAAAAGAATCTTTTAAGATACATACGATTTGAGGTACTGTTGATATGAATAGATGCATGGCTTAGAAGGGAGGAAAAGATACAGCACTCTGTTGTAGAAATCAGAGCCAAATGTTTAGGAACTTCATCAGTCAAATGTTGGCTTAGATGATAAAGCATCCATGCATCGACATTTTCCTTCTAGGCTCAGTCTACACTAGTCTCTGAGAGCTTTAGAAAATTCTGGAGGCAGCTATTCTGTGCTAGTCCACTTTCCACTCTCATGCTCTGACGTTTTGGAAATTACTGGGAGCGTGTGTGTGCCCAAAATCCCAAGGGAGAACGGAAGAGAAGGGACTGTGATGTGGCCATCCCCCTACGGGGGTGATTTCTCACTTTCTGTCTCTGTATCCCCAGCCAGCACACTCACCCTATAGCAAAAATCTCTTTTAAACTAAGTAAATAAAGAGTTATGACATAGAGGCATTGTTCTGTAAGTGACAATAATGTTTTAAATTTGTTTGAAGCTCTTAACCTCAGTCTATTGCTGTTAAATACTGACCATCTGCATACAGTGGGGAAAATAACCGAATTATGAACTGTGATAATATTTACGTAATTATTTTACCTGGAATCATTCCAAATGTAAGTTAAAGTATAATTTTCCACTTGCCATTTTATTCTTCTTGTGTAATCGTTCCTTCCATTCCTTTCTGACACTCCCAATGTCATTCGCTGCCTCCATTTACCATCGTGTCAACAAACATTGACAAACGCCAGGTGTGTGCCTGCATTGCACCCTGTGCTAGAAAAGAAGCCTAGGGCTCAGCCCCCAAGGAGCTTGGAATCCAACTGGGGATCAAAGTAAGGGCATAAAAGAGCAAAGAATGTAGGATTCAAGTAACAGCTTAAGGCAAAAGACAAAAAAAATTTTTTTTAATGTCCATGATTTATAAATAGGCTAGTGCTGTGGAAATTATGAAGCAAGAGTCAACAATTTGGGGAAGGTGCTTTCTTGAGGAAGTAGATGTGAGTTATATTGGGTAGGTATTGTAGATACATGAGTGGCAGGAGTAAAACTACAGAGGTGGAAAACACCCTTCCTGTTTGGAGAATAGTAAGCAAACCCAGTCTTGGCTGGGGAGTGCGTATCTGCTGGGATTAGAACCTGCTAGGGTTAGATGTGGCTGAATGCATCAGTAAACCAGTATGTGCTTTTTTTCTTTTTTTTTAGTACAGTATAAAAATAATTTTTTAAAACTTTTTAGTATAGGACAAAAATAACTATATTGACTCTTTAGAAAAACATGTATAGTGCTTTTCTCAATTTTAGCTAGCTTGTCATATAAAACTTATCATAATAAATTTTTTCATAAAATTTACTTTCAGTCTTTGTAACATTGTTTTCCCTTCGAACTCATCTCAAATCTTAACCCAATATGTCTTAGACCTAGTATTTGTCCCTTTTTTTCTAATGATATATATGGATTTGTTTTAGTCATGTTACTTTAGCACAAATACTTTACCACACCAGTGTTTTTTACAAAAAATTTTCTTTCTGGCTATTTTCTACCTTGTGTTAAATTGACCTCTGAATAGCCTTTGGCCTTTGGGGAACCCCCCCCCAAAAAAAAAAAAAAAAAAACCAGAAAGAAAGAAATAAGAGATGGTTCTAAGAAACTCTGGTTAGACCTTCCCACATTATTGTCAAACAAGACCTCAGAACTGTTCCAGCCTATGCCCAGAGATGGGCCCAGGTCACATGGCAAGTAATCGAATCAAAGAGTCAGCCGTTTGTGTGACTATCCCTTTACCCATCCCTTACTAAGACATCGGTCTTCTAGGTAAGATGGGCAGAAACACTTTTTGGCTTTAAATCACCCCCTCGGGATTTTACACAATTAACTTTATATATATATATATATAAAAATAACCTTAAATAACCTTTTATTTAGACTGTTCCCCTCCAAAAAAGTTATTATTTTAGAAAGGATATTTTTATGTTTTGCTAACGGATTTTTACCAAAATGACACTGTAATCTTTTCTAACTTTGTATGTAGAATTGCATGTATTAACCTTAATTTTTTTATCTTTCGTGACCTTAATTTCCTTAAAGAATTATTTACTTTGTCATTATTATTGGGTTTTTTTTGTTTTTAAGATTTGATCAGAGAGAGAGAGAGCAAGAAAGCAAGCTGCCAGGTCCGGACTGGAGCCGGTCAGCCATGTGGGAGTCCACAGCCCTAGCCACCATACCACTGCCAGTCTCTGTAACCTTGTTATAAGTAAGAAATCGGACTTGTCATATACCAATTATTTTTAACAATCAATTTTTTAATACTTTTTCTAAAGGTAGAACAAAATAAATCTATAGACTCCTGCCAAAATATTTTTTGTCTCTATAAGAGTTAGAAGCCAAGTGAAAAACTTTACAGTTTATATTAACCAAAATATTTTTAAGTATTTTAAAAAAATGACAAGTATTTGATCAGAATTAATTTAATATAGCATAATTCCTTTAAGATCTAAAATTACCTGAAAATTTTATAACATCTTATTTACAATCACCGGATTTCTCTTTAAGAACTATATGCCTGGGCTATCTAAATACCAAAATATACCAGAAAGTCAGTTATTTATTTCCTTATTAACTTTTTATAACATTTTAAATATGTATAGCATATGAATAATATATATTTACCAAAGGTTGTTGATAACTCTAAAATCTATTTTTACTAAATCAATACCAAAACAATTTTTTTTTGGTTTGATTGGTAAAACTTAAGACAATTATGAAGATATTTCAATTTTATCCTTACATTTGTAGCTGGCTTATTTACTTAAGTCATGTGAACTTGAAAGCATTTGGATTAAATGCTGTGGACGCTCTTTGTTTACATACCAAATTAAATAGAATTTCTTAAGGACTTTGGCACATAAGCATAACATACATAAACATGTGTACAACATAAATCAACATATAAGAGAGTTATAAAAGTCCCTCGTATCAGAACAAATTCATGCTTCCTACCTGGCTCTTGGCGACAGGAAGGTTGTTATCTTCCTTCTGATATTCACTACTGGATGGGACATGATGTCAACATCCGGGAAGTGTATCCAGATACGGATGCTAATTCCTTCAAAGATTGCCCTGGACATGTGTGATGAGACCATTAAATTCCTCACGTGAGGGACTAACAGGAGGCGTGGTGGTTAGGCCTGCTGGACTCCCACATGGCTGACCCTGGTTCATGTCCTGGACCTGGCAGCTTGCCTCTTCACTTTCCTTCTCTCACTCTGTCTCTCTCTGATCAATTTCAAAAAAAAAAAAAAATTAAAATAATAACAATGAATACAAATAAACAAAATAACTCTTAAAAATATTCCTCATGTGAGAGATAGGCAAATGCAGGAAAAAAATGCAAGAAACCAAAGCAAAGAAACTAGATACTAATGACAGACCTTCCCCTGCTAAAAAAGTTTTAGTAACCTGCAGGTTAAATGTCAATATTTAACCTCATGCCCAAGGCAGTTGGCCTTCTCTGGTAGCTGTCTATCCATATGCCTTTCAGGTTTGGGGGTGAATTTCCTCCCTAATAGAAATTTTACCTTTGCTTTTGTTCATACCCTGTAGCCCAATTTTTCCTTCCCACAGCAGCAAACCTTTCAGAGGATACACTCCCCACAAGCTCCTTTGAGCAGTAAGTTTGTCAATGAGCTGGTAATTCTCAGTATGATAGCCAGCTCTTCTGCAAGCTGCTCCTCTTCTCACATAAAGTTAACTTCTCAGAAGCTGAACTAGCCTAAATAAAAAGTCCAAACAAAACCCCTCAGACATAGATGAGAGGGGAAAAAAGAAAAAAAACCCTCGTCTCCGTTTTCCATTGGTAACCCATTTCCCAGGACTCACTCCCTGCCTGGGAGGTCTGATATTTCTTCCCTCGCCAAACTCTCCACTTTAGTATTTCTTCTGGGTCCATGTCTCTATTTCCTCATGAGCATAAGACAAAAGAATCAAAATCATTGTAGTTCCTGCATTGAGTGTTGAGCGCATGCACCCCCAACTTCCTGCATCAATTTTCCTGTATCATTACCTTAAGACTATGAATAAGCAAAAAGGAAGAAAAAGAAAAAATGAAGAAAAATAGAAGGAAAAAAATAAAACAAAGTAGGCAAAGAGAAAATAAAGGAGAAGCTTCAGAAATTATCAGAAAGGACATAAGTTGGTCAAAAATGAAATCAAGCAGAGATCCCCTAAAAAGGGATGGACCCTCAGTTTCTCTTTCAAGAAAAAAAAAAGAACTTTCCAACTTAAAAGTGTTAAAACTAAAACTGAGGGGGAAAAAATCTTTTCTAAGGAGCTTGAAATACAAACTTTATTTACATTGTAATAAACCACAGTATATGGAAAAAATGTAGGCTTTGGTTATGATAAATAATGAAACAAAGACTGAGAGAAGATTGTACCACCAAGTATAAACACAAGTCTTAAAGAAATAACAAAAAATTAAGATGTTTTACAAGATAGAAATTGCTGGCTATAAGCAAAATAGAAGAAAGGGAAGAAAAACAAGAAAAGATCCCAGGCCAACTGCTGCCAGAAAACTGAAGATCTTTCCCTCTACAATAGAAATGTTATCTAAGATCTTGCAGATCCAGGAGGCCTACCCGGTGAACACACCCTCTTAAACAGATAAGTACATGATCAATTCAGTAGAGACTTCTGGGCTTAAACAACACACCCTCTTAAACAGATAAGTACATGATAATTCAGTAGGGACTTCTGGGCTTAAACAAAAATGCAAAAATTAAATGAAACTCTTGCCGACTGGTCCCTTTCAGCATGAGCTGTCCTGCTCTCTGCGTCTGCACATTGCAGCAAGGCTAGGTTTTCTTTCCTCATATCATGGGCTTAAGGTTTGGCTCATAGCATCCTGGAGAGGGAACCCAATTAAAGTTTGTTGAAAGTAACTATTATGTCAACCAATCTGCCAATGTGCCTCTCCCAAGTTTATTTATAAGAGAGGGGAAAGGGAAAGACAGAGACTGTCCGGACAAGGGGAGATTTTTGGGGCCTTCCTAATTTTAGAGGAAGCTTCTGTTATTTTTCTAAAGACAGTTTCAAATTTATCTTTTTGTTAACTTTTTGTAAGGAGTTAATTTTACTATTTTTAAAAGTGAATGTTAATACCAATTAAAGTAGCAATCTCATTCTTTTTCTTGTTATAAGATCCAGATTTTCTAATTTTGCACGCAAAAAGACTAATTTAGGAATATCAAAGCTTCTGCCTGAGGAAACTCTAACCAAGACACCTTTTGTAATTCTTTCCATTTATCTCAATACCTGCAGGTCAAGGTGCCATGGATGTCACATATAAAGCTGTGGTGGCCAAAAGGGGTCGTCCTCTGCTTATTTTAAACTGTAGATGTCTTATTTCCCAAATTTATCTTTTTTTTTTTTTTAATTCATTTTTAAAAGGAGAAAGGGCCTGTGGAAATCTGAGGGTTTTAATGCGGTGGGCCAGCCTGCTGCTTTTTTTGAGCATCTCTCCACTAAATGTCACTCTCCTCTCCTGTGGAGAACACTGTCTTAAGTGTCTCAGTTCCCTTCAAGAATTTAGCAACCTTGAAGGGGTCCCAAAACGTTTGAGTGGTCAGTTTTTATTTTGCGTTTACTGGGTGGGCTTGTTATTAATTACTGTGCTGGGATTCCCATGGGCGGCTACTTGCCCTAAGAGGAGGAAATCCCCCCCTCTAGGCGCTCCCCAGTGGCTCCCAGTCGCCTGAGGTGCCTACCAGCCCCGAGGAGGAGGAGCAAGTGCCGTTTATCTTCGGAGCTGAGAGGCTCAGTCTCTCATTTGCCTGTGAATAAGACAGTTCTTTTCTCTGTGCAAAACACAAAGCAGCCAGCTGAAACTGTTTTAAGAAGGCAAAGGAGGAAGACCCTTCAGAACGCACCTTTTTTCTTTCCTTTTTTCAAAAAAAAAAATTAATTAATGAACTTTCATATATTTGGTTTTCCTAACTACCCACTGAGAAGGGAACAAACTACCCCTTGCTCAGAAAGAGCAGACCACTACTCCTCACTCAGAAGGGAGCAAACCACTGCCCCTCGCTCAGAGGTGAGCAAACCTGGGTTAACCAAAACAGACAGAAGACAGATGAACAGGCAAAACCAGCTTAGAAATAAACCAGACCTCTATCAAATTTTGGGAGGTCTGGGGCCAGAGAGGCCACAAAGGGCCCACCGCTGGTCCTGTCAACGGATGGGAAAGTGTCGAGCTGCGTTGTAAAGTCCTTGGTTCTTTGGGTCCAGATCACTAAAATTAAAGATCTGTCCCTAGGCGCAAAATGAAGTAGGCAGAAAAGATTTAATAGATAAGAAAGGAAGTACACCCAAAAGGCTCTCGGGCGGGCAGATTGCCAGATGGCAATTGCATTTGGTACTGACTAATCACTATTTTTATTACTAGAGGTTGTCCACGGAAAAATATAACCAACTGTAAAATTAATAATTAATAATTAATGCGGTTTATTTCCAAGCCAACTGCATGACCTAGGCCGGAGAAGAGGTATCCGGGGTGATCATGTACAGAGGTTCCTTTTATTTGCTTTTGAGATTGACACACAACATTTAATTAAAAGATTTCCCATTGGTCTGGCCCAAAAAAGGGGGACATGTAGAAGTGGGGGCTTGTAGGTTATAGGTGGGTTCCACAAATTCTTAGGTCTGTGATTGGAAGGGAAGATCCCTGTCTTGGGAAGAGATTAAAGAAAGGCTTAATCTACATCTTAAGGAAAGGGAAGTACTGTGTCTTGGGAAGAAATAAGCAAAAGAATACACTAATCGCTTGAAATATACATCTCTAAGATACTATGCCAGGGACAGGAGGTAGGAAGAATCCTGTTAATAGAAAGTAAATGGTCTGTTAATGTTTGTGGGCATGACTTCCCCAGTCCCCTTTTGAAAAGATTTTCGAAAAATAGGAAAAGTAGTCAGACTTCTGCCCACAAGGTGATCATGGATATTTGTTGCTGGGAGGTCTGTCATACTCCCTATGTCCTTCCTCTGAATTCCAATCTGCACGTTTTCTCCTGCACTTGCGCACTTTTCTTACAGGTGGAGAGTGAGAAATTTGATTACCTAATTGCGTATGCCCAGTGTGAGCCAGGTTGTTTAATTAGACTGCCTAATTAGTTTATTGCCCTAGTGGGAATTAGGGCTTTGACCAAAATGCTTACTTGGGGATTAGGGTGTTGACCAAAATGCTCGCTTGGGTCTTTTTGATAAGAGAAACATTTACAAATTCTTCCTGTGTGCTTCCCTCAGGCCCCAAGGAAGGAAGATGGCAAAGGAAGATGCCCTCCTGGCAGGCAGGGCTAGGTGAGAAGACAGTATTTCCTGGAGGGCCTGGCTGTAATTCCTGATAAACCAGACGGATGTGGCATGTGTCCTTTCGCTTTTGTCTTAGGGCTGCCTGCTTATGACGACCTACCTACCACAGTACCAGGCACCGGGTTCGAACGACCCCTCGGAAGGTCTCTGGTTCATCTCTGAGCCCTTTGTGGTTGCCATCATGTCAACAGAAAATAACCAACTCTGTAAAGATAACAGTTAATGCGGTTTATTTGTAAGCAGAGTGAGTGAGCCAGACTGGAGAGGAGGCAGAGCATGCCTTTCTCTCCTGTGTGTTTTTTGTTTGTTTAAGATGATAATTTGCAATTGTGTCAAAGAAGTTGCAGACAGGAACTTCAGAACTGATGTGAAAGTCACACAAGGACTCAGCTTCCCCCTTCTTAGCATGAGGCCAACATCATCAAGGTTGTCTCATGGTCCAATGTCGTTGCTGGAGCTTGAGCTATCACAGCTACCCTCCAGATCAGAAAAACTAGGAAGGGATAAGGGCAACAGGATGCTCCTGCAGCTGAGTTTGCCCCCTTTCCCAAACTGTCCTAGACAGCACTCTCTGTGCCTCACAGACCACTCCAGCTGCCTGCCAGGGACACACTCCCCTTCATGGGGACCTTTGTCATTCCAGGAAACCTGCCCTTTGTTACTGAGAAAGAGGGAGGAATGGACACTGGGGAAGCAATTAGCAGTCTCTGTCCCAAAAGACTGTGGGAACTGTCAGAAAATAAGCTCAAAAGGGAGAATTAGAACAAAATTGTGTGGACTTTTAATGATAGATTGCAAATATGGAATAAATTCTAGAGGCTGTGAAGCAACACAACTAACTATGAGCAGGAGACAGAATCATGTGGTTCTTTGGAAAGAGTCATCTGACCAAGAGGGTGGAAGATGACTAGTAGGGAATCGGAGGCCGCGGACAGGCTGGCTGTAGGCTTGTCTGTGTCGGGAGAGATAAGGCAGTGTTAGTGGTCATGGGAAGAAGAGAAAGCGTGACATTCTGAGAGAAATGACTATTTAGATATAAGGTAAGGATAAAGACAAAAGCACAACAAGTTGCAGGTTCGAAGCCTGATAGCCGGAAGGCTCATGTCATCTTTCAAAGGAATCTGAATATTGAAAGCAAATTTTGGAGAACATTTAAGTGGGTTGATTATTGCTATGCTCCATTTGAGGAGGCAATAAGTGACCCTCAAAACGGAAATGTCCAGTCTAGGCTAGAGAGAAGGGACACGAAGTCTGGATGTGCTTGTATTTTCATTCCATGGCAGTGGCTAATATCTCCCAGGGTGACACAGAGCAAAAGGGAGACCAGGTACCAAGCCTGAAGGCATCCCACATACACTGAGTAGAAGAAAGAGGGGTCAGAGAAGGAGGCCACGTCAGTGTGGGGTGTGGTAAGTAAATGACACAGTGTGTTACATGACGTCTCTCATAAAAATACTCCGTATAATTTGCTCTCAAATCCACTAACTTCAGGGGGGACGGGGCAGGCAGCATGGCCAACCTTGGTTTGAGTCCCAGACCTGGTGGCTTGCTTTTTCACTTTTTCTCTCTCTCTTTCTCTATCTGACCAAATTTAAAAATAAATTAATAATAATAATAATAATAATAATTGGGACCAGCAGATGGCATAATGATTACATCACTGGACGCCCACATAGTCAACTGCAGTTCAACCTCGGATCTGATGACTTGAAACTCATGCCCAGCACATGCACATGTATGTCCAAAATCCCGAGAGGAGAATGGAGAAGGGATTGTAGCGTGGCCATCCCCGCTGGGGATTGAGTTCTCACTTTCTGTTTCTCTATCTCTCTCATAAGCACATCTACCCTATAACAAATACCTCTCAAAAAACGATAAAGTTAAATAAAATAAATATTTTTAAAAATCTACTAACTCGAAGTCAAAAATCAAATATACTCCAGTGTGGAGTGAGTTTATGAGATTTAAGATTTACCGAATATTCACTGTGACTCCTATTTCACTATTGCAATAGATTTTCGTACATTTCTCATTCACTGAGTCACTATTGCAATAGATTTTCGTACATTTCTCAATGACTCAGAGCTCACAACAGCTATTTTCTCTACAGAAACACCGTATAAAAGAAAACAAAGCATATAATTATAAATATAGTTTTTTTCTTCTTTCTTTTTTTTTTAAGACCCTGGTTTCCAGTATAAAGAAATGTCCCAGCTTCTTAGAAACTGGCCAATGGGTCATTGTTACTGAAAAAGATGGAAAACAGGAATTTGCTGTTTTTGATGCTGTAATGGTTTGTTCAGGACATCATGTATACCCCAATCTGCCAACTGATTCCTTTCCTGGTAAGTTCAAAAACTACATACGAATTTGAGGGCTTATATATAAATATCAAGAATTAAAAGATCTTCCTGTAGGTTATACATAATGATTATTTTAAGATCCCAATGATTTCCAAAAATGTTCAAGTCTGATGATACACTAAACTAATAAAGAGCCCTCTCAACTCCTGTATTAAAAGAATCAAAGACCTGCAAGTCAAAGATCAGACAGATACAAGCTCTGATTTTGTAAACAGTAACTAAAATGTAAGTCCTAACTGCATCTGAGGGTCTCTGAGCAGTTATATTTAAAAAAGTGGAATCAAGCTGCCAAAGACTTTAAAGAAAGGCACATTTTCTTAAGTTACTGACAGGAGTAACCTAAGTTTCTTATTGCATCTTCACCCATACTTCACAAGCAGACTTCAGACATCTCAGTGATGTGTATGTGTGGTGTGTAGCACACTTCATTACCATTCGAAAGTGGCAAACATCAAATAAATACACGTGAAGACTTTCTACCACTCTTCCTTTCTGCATCTTCACTGCAACAGGAATACAGCTTATACACCAAATATATCAGAGTGTCCGCCTCTAGGAATGAATACCCAGGCTCAACTCCATATTCCATTAGGTCCTCACCACTTACCTTCTTGGTCTCCCTTCCCTCGTATTTTAAAGTAAGGATTACAGTACCTATCATTCAGGTCTATTACCAAGATTAAATTGTGAAAATATGTAAGTCATGGATCTAGCCCACAGTGAGTACTCAATAAATATTAACTTTTGTTATTACACAATGTAAGTTTTATGGTGCTAGAAGTAATTATTTGGGGCCTTACTGTCAAAAACACCCACTATGTGGATACATGAATTTCCACAAGGGAAATTTTTTTTATTAAAATGCATAATATGATGGTTAAAAAAAAATACAGATTGAAAAAGTGTGACACATATACTCTATGGAATACTATTCAGCCATAAAAAACAAGACCCTGGCTATTTTTTTTTTTCATTTCTTTTATGTATTCAATCACATATGTCGCTTACCTTGTAAAGTGAATATTCCAACGCGAAGACATTTCTCACCAGTCCACTTGGGAATACTATACACATTATCTTTAACAGAAAATAATCCAGTTCTTTGTTCCATAAATGTCTTGCCTCTGTATTTTTCTCCTTAATGACTTTCCTCAGACTCTCTACCTTCTCCTACCTTCTTCTCACATTGTATCTGGTATCTATAACTATTTTCTATGTTTCTATATACTCTGGTCATTCAGTTTCGGCCATAGAGTGTAGACAGTCAGTATATGTTAAGTGGGGACATACAATGTCACTCCTTCATAGCCTGGCTTGCTTCACTCAGCAGTAAATCTTCCATATTCGTCCACTTTCTGTCAAAATCCAGGGTCTTGTTTTTTATGGCTGAGTAGTATTCCACAGAGTATATGTGCCAGTTTTTCAATCCATTCCTCTGTTTTGTGGACATTTGGGTTGGTTCCATGTCTTAGCAATTGTGAATAATGCCAGTAATAAACATCGATGTGCAAGCACTTTTCTTACTAAGGATTCTTCTGTCCTTTGGGTAGATACCAAGGAGTGGGATTGCTGGATTATATGGTAGTTCTATTTGTAGATCTTTGAGAACTCTCCATATTGTTCTCCACAGTGGCTGGACCAATTTACATTCCCACCAGCAGTGTAGGAGAGTTCCCCTTTCACCACACCCCAGCCAGCAGTTATCTTTTTTTTTCTTTTGGAGAGTTTTTTTTTCACTATAGGGCGCGTGCACTCGCCAGACAGACAGAGAGAGACATAGAGACAGCGAGAAATCACCCCCCAGGGGGGATGGTCACGCCGCAATCCCTTCTCCTCCATTCTCCTCTCGGGATCTTGGGTACACACGCACATGCGCCCGGCGTGAGTTTTAAGCCACGGGGTCTGGGACGTGAACTGTGGTCTACTAAATGGGAGTCCAGTGACATAGCCATTACGCTAACTGCTGGTTCCCTTCTTCTTTTTTTTTTTTTTTAAATCTTTGTCATTCTGACTGGGGTTAGATGGTATCTCATTGTGGTTTTGATCTACATTGTCCTTATAATGAGGGGTGTTAAGCATTTTTTAATATGCCTTTTGAGTATTCATATGTCTCCCTTAGAGAGTGGGGTATTTTGTTTGTTTTGTTTTGTTTGTTTGTTTTCAGCTCATTCTCCCATCTTTTAATTGGGTTGATCATCTCTTTCTGGAAAGCCACTTGAGTTCCTTGTGTATCTGGTTATAAGCCCCTTACCTGAGGCATAGTTTACAAAAATATTCCCCCATTCTGAGGGCTGTCAACTCACACTAATTACTGTGTCTTTTGCCATGAAGAAATTTCTTAATCTGACATAATCCCACTTGTCTATTTTTGGGATTATTGACTATGTTTTGGGAGTCTTATTTAAGAAGTCTTTGCATACTCCAATATCTTCCATACTTTCCCCAGTGTTTTCCAGCTGTAGTGTTCTAGTTTAAGGTCTTAGGTTTAGATCTTTTGATCCACTTTGAGTTGATTTTTGTCAATGATAAGAGGCAGAGGTTTAGATTCATCTTTCTGCAGGTGGATATCCAATTTTTCCAGCAGCATTTGCTAAAGAGGTTTTCCTTTTCACATTGGATAGACTATCACCCTTTGTCAAAAATGAGTTGGCTGTACATTTGGTAATTTATTTCTGGGATCTCTATTCTGCTTATTCATAGGTCCACCTGTCTGTTTCTGTACCAAACCATGCTGTTTTGGTTATCACACCTTTATAGTATATTTTTTGGTCAGGGTGTGAGATGCTGCCCACTTCAATTTTCTTGCATAGAATTGCTTTAGCAATACGAGGTTTTTTACGATTCCAGACAAATTGTATGATTGTCTTTTCTAGATCTGTAAAGAATGTCTCTGATACTTTGATTGGGACTGCATTAAATATGTAGATTAACTTGGATAGAATCGCTATTTTGATTATATTAATTCTTCTGATTCAGGAACATGGGATGTCTTTCCACCTTTTTGTGTCATTTTCAATTTCTTTTTTTAGCTTCTTATAGTTTTTCTTGTGGATGTCTTTAACTTCTTTGGTTAGATTTATTCCTAGGTATCTTATATTTTTGTGGCATGGTAAATGGAATTATTTTCTTCAGTTCTATCTCACTCTGCCTGTTGTTTGTATATAGAAATGCTATAGATTTGTGTATGTTGATTTTTTATCCTGCAAATTTACTGTATTCCTTTATTACTTCTGGGAATTTTTTCATGGATATCATTGGGTCTTCTATGTATACAATCATGTCATCTGCAAATAGAAGTAATTTCACCTCTTCTTTTTCTATTTGAACGCCTTTTATTTTATTCTCTTTTCTGATTGCATTGGTGAGGACTTCCAGTACTATATTGAAAAGGAGTGGAGAAAGTGGGCATCCTTGTCTTGTACCAGTTTTTAGTGGAAAGCTTTCAGCTTTTCCCCATTCATAATGATGTTAGCTATGAGTTTTTCATAGATAACCTTTACCGTGTTAAGGAATGACCCTTCTATGCTGATTTTGCTGAGTCTTGATAATGAAGGTATGTTGCATCTTATCAAATGCTTTTCCTGCAACAATTGATATGATCATATGGTTTTTATCTTTATTTCTGTTAATATGGTGTATTAAATTTATAGTTTTGTGTACGTTGAACCATCCTTGAATCCCTGGAATAAAATCTACCTGGTCATGATGTATAATCTTTTTTATATTTTTTTGGATACAATTTTCTAGTGTCTTGTTGAAAATTTTTGCATTTATATTCACCAGGGATATTGGTCTATAGTTTCCCTTCCTTGTCCTGTCCTTGTCTGTTTTAAGGATAAGGGTGAATGAGGCTTCATGGAATAAATTAGGGAGTTTCATCCTTTTGGATCTTTAGAAATAATTTACAGAATGGGAGTAGCTCTTCTTTAAAAGTTTTATAGAAGTCAGAGGTGAAACCATCAGGACCAGGGCTTCTCTTTCTTGGGAAGTTATTTATTACTGATTCAATCTCATGGCTTTTTATGGGCCTATTCAGACTCTCTACATGCTCCTGAGGCAATCTTGGTAGAATATATGTCTCCAGAAATTTGTCCATCTCATCCAGATTTTCTTGTTTGTTGGCATATAGTTGTTCATGGTATCCTCTAGTAAGGTTTTATATTTCTATTATGTCTGTTATATTGCCTGCTTCATTGAAAATTTGATTTACCTGGTAACTTTCTTTCTTCTTAATTAGCTGACTAGCAGTGTATCAATTTTGTTTATCTTTTCAAAGAACCATCTTTTACTTTCATTTATTTTCTGTATAGTTCATTTATTTTTTATTTCATTTATTTCTGCTGTGATCTTTATTATTTCTTTTATTCTGGAGTTCTTTTTAATATTTTTTTGCTGTTGCTTTTCCAATTCTACAAGGCATAATGTTAGGTAGTCCATTTATTTGCCTTCTTTTTATCTTCTTATGTGCATTAATTTCTGTGAACTCTCCTTTTATGATTGCTTTTGCAATATCCCAAAGATAATGGAAATTTGTGTCCTCGTTGTCATTGGCTTCCATCAATCTTTCTATTTCAGTCTTTATTTCTTTAGCAGTTGGGAAGTCATTCAGGAGTAAGTTGCTTAGTTTTCATGTATTTATATATTGTTGAGGATCTTTCTTAAAATTAATATCAAGTTTAATTCTATCATGGTTGATGAAGATGCTGGATATAGTTTTTATACCTTTGAATCTGTAGAGGCTTGCTTTGTGCCCTATCATGTGGTCAATTATCGAAAAGGTTCCATGTGGGGGTGAGAAAAAAGTGTTTTCATGATTTTGGGGTGGAAAATTCTATAGATGTCTGTTTAGTCCATTTGATTTATGGTTTAATTTTGATCCTTTATCTTTTTGCTTAGTTTTTGTTTAGATGATCTGTCCAAAGGAGATAGTAGGGTGTTGAGGTCCACAACAATTACTGTGTTTCAGTCTCTCTCTCCTTTGAGATCTAACATTATTTCTTTCACTTACTTGGGTGCTCCTGAGTTAGGTGCATAAATATTTGTAAGTGTTATAGTTTGTTTGTTTGTTTTTTTGAGAGGTTTTTGCTATAGGGCGCGTGCGCTCGCCAGACAGAGGCAGAGAGACAGAAAACGAGAAATCACCCCCCACAGGGGGATGGCCACGCCACAATCCCTTCCCTTCCGTTCTCCTCTCGGGATCTTGAGCATGCATGCACACGCGCCCAGCGTGAGTTTTAAGCCACCGGGTCCAGGACGCAAACCACGGTCGACTACATGGGAGTCCAGCGACATAGCCATTATGCCAACTGCTGGTCCCTAAGTGTTATAGCTTCTTGATGGATTAGCCCTTTTAACTACATAGTGCCCTTCTTTGTTTCTTTGAACAGGGTTTTTTGGGGTTTTTTTTTAAGCCTATTTTGTCAGAAATCAGTATTTTGACTCCAGCTCTTTTTTGGTTCCCATTTACATGGAATGTCTTTTTCCAGCCAGCTCTTCAATTTTTAGTCTATATATGTCTTTATCCATGAGATGTGTTTTTTGTAGGCAACAGATAGAGGAGTTTATGGTTTTGTTTTGTTGTTGTTGTTGTTTTTAATCCATTCTACCAGTCAGTGTCTCTTGATTGGAGAATTTAACATTTACATTCAATGTTATTACCATAATTCTAGACCTGTCACTACCTTTAAGTTGGCCATTGTCTTGGTTGTCTTTTATTCCCTCATTTCTTTTCTTTGTCATGTATTCTTTTTTTATTGCACATGATATTCTTGCACTAAAAAATCACATTGCATTCCACAGATGTGTACAACTATTATATTAATTTTTTATACCTATTCCATGTGGTCCATATGGACCATATTTATTTTTATATGATACAATAGCAGATGAGGCAGGATATTTTCTCACTTTTCTTTGCAGCATCTTTTTTTTTAAAGAAATTGTGTATTTAATTTTGTTATTTTTTTATTTAATTTATTTCTTTTTGTATATACATTCCATCGCATTGTTTAGCTTACAATGTGAACATTTCCATATGTGAACATTTCTCCCCAGTCCCGTTGATCAAAATATCTTCAACCAATAACACCACACTTCCCCATCTCGTCAATGCTCTACCTCCGTATCCCTTCTCCAAATGTCCTTCGTTAGGCCCCACTCCTCCACATACCCTCATCTGACAGTCACACCCATCTCTTATGTTTGTACAACCGTTAGTCAATCAGTTTCAGTCATAGAGTGCAGACATTCGGTATATGTTAAGTGGGGACATACAATGTCTCTCCTTCATAGCCTGGCTTGCCTCACTCAGCAGTAAACCTTCCATATTTTTCCACTTTCTGTCAAAAGCCAGGGTTTTGTTGGTTTTTATGGCTGAGTAGTATTCCATAGAGTATATGTGCCACAATTTTTCAATCCATTCCTCCCTTATTTCTGTCTGTTCATTCTTTTATTTTCTTGGAACAGTACTCTCTTGAGAGATTCTTGAAGAGTTGGTCCGGTGTTGTCAAATACTTTCAGGTTTTGTTTGCGAATATTTTAATCTTTTTTTTTTCCATATGAAGGATAATCTTGCTGGATATAATAACTTGGTTGAAATTGTTTCTCTCTTAACTCTTTCCAGATGTCTTCCCATTCTTTCCTTGCTTGTAGTTTCCATTGAAAGATTCGGTGTTAACCTGATGGGATGACCTTTGTAAGTCACCTGATGTTTCAAATCTCTTGCCAATTTTAGTATCTTATCTTTGTCTGCGGTTTTGCCCAATCTGGCTAAGATGTGCAGTGGAGAGGATCTTCTTTGGTTGATTCTATTTGGGGTCTTTTGTATTTCTTGTGTCTGGATGTTTGAGTGCTTTTCTAGACTTAGAAAGTTTTCTTGTATGATTTCATAGAATAGATTTTCCATCCCCTTATTAGTTTCTTTACCTTCTGAGATAACCATTATTCAGATATTTGGATATTTAATGGAATCTAGTATTTCTCATATATTATCCTCTTTTTTTGTTTTTCTCTTTTTTTGGTGTTTTTTTTTTTTTTTTCTAGGTCAGTGGTCTTATCTTCTACATCAGAGATTTGATCTTCAGAATGGTCTAATAGGCTTTAAATACTTTTGAAAAATTATTTGATTTCTTGTATTACAGACTTTATTTCTAATAGTTCCATCTGATTCTTTCTCATGGTGTCCATTTCTTTTTTCAAATCATGGAAGAACTTCCTCATCTCTTGGATTTTGTTGTCTCTCTTCTGTTCCAACTCATAGAGTTTTGTCACTATGAATGTTCAGAGTTCTTTCTCTAACATTTCAGTAACTTCAGTTTTTTTTTCAAGTGATGGATGGGAGTTACTGTGTTTGTTTGATGGAGACGTATTTCCTGGCCTTTCAAACTTGAGGCTCTTCTGTGACTTCTAGCCATTAGGTGATATATTCACTTTTGGATACCTTTTTGAAAAATGTTTCTCCACTGGGATGAGTTTGTTTCCCTTTTGCTGTGGATTGATGTGTGCCAGTCTCTCTTCTGCTGTGTTAAGCGATGTGTCCCCACGAGCGGAGTCTTCCATTCAAGTATCCATGTGTGCCAGTCTCTCTTCTGCTGTGTTAAGCAATGTGTCCCCATGGGCGGAGTCTTCCATTCAAGTTTACGAAGATGAGTTTCTCCTTTTTCACAGGTGGTTCAGTATAGAGTGAGGATCTCAGGGAAACTCCTAAAACTAGAATGTTTGTAAACTATAATTCTAGGCTGGTCTAGTCCCTCTGGGTAGATGGAGGATGAGGAAAAGATGACAATATAAGAGGGAAAAAATAAAGAATATGAAAGAGAGAAAAGAAAAAGTCATGTAGTGTGAACAAGCTCAGCCTATAATTTTGGCAGGACTCTGCAGATGGAAGTGGGCTCTGCTGGAGAGCTGGGAGCTGCCCTATGAGGTGAGGAGAAGTAAAGAATTAGAAAAAGAAAGAAGAGGAGAAAAAACAGCCTACCTTTCTGGCAGGGAGGAGGGTGGGCTCTGAGGTTGGGAGAAGTGCTGGGCTGGAGCTGGAGCTGGAGCCAGTGAATGGCCCTGCCTCAGTTTCCCTGACTGGGCCGAGGGCTACAGATGGAAGTGGGCTTTGCTGGAGAGCTGGGAGTTGGCCTATGGGGTCAAGACTCTTTCTTTTGACAGAAAGATTTACTGTTGAGTGAAGCAAGCCAGGCAATGGAGAGACATTGTATGTCTTCACTTAATATGTACCTACTGTCCTCAGCCTTGGCCCAAATGGAATGACTAGATGATATAGAAACATAGAACATGGTTATAGATATCAGATACAGTGTGGGACGAAGGTCGGAGAAGGAGGAGAGTCTAAGGAAAGACATTAAGGAGAAAAATAGAGAGGCAAGACTTATGGGACAAAGAAATGGATTATAATCTGTTCATGATAACGTTTATAGTATCCCCAACTGGACTGGTGAGAAATGTATTCATGTTGGAGCACTCACTTTACAAGCTAATGACATATGTGATTGAATGTATAAAAGAAATTTAAATTAAATTTTAAAAAGAAAAAAAGAAACATGGTGAAAAACTAATACTTCTGGTTGTCCCATTCACCTAGTGGTTAGGGAAGTCTAATCCCACATAGCAAGGCATGGTTTGAATTCTAGCCCTAACAGCTTGAGAAACCTTTGTGCATGTGTGTGCCTCATATCCAGAAGAATGGAGAAATGTCAGAGAAGGGATTGCAGTGTGATCAAGCCCACTGAGGGGAAGTGCTTTCTCTCTATCTTGCTCTCTCCAGTAAATGTACACACCCTCCGGCAATATATTTTTTTTTAAAAAAAGGGAATCTTGGGACCAGCAGTTAGCATAATGGCTATGTCACTGGACTCCCATGTAGTCGACCGCGGTTCGCGTCCCGGACCCGGTGGCTTAAATTCACGCCTGGCACATGTGCATGTGTGCCCAAGATCCCGAGAGGAGAATGGAGGAGAAGGGATTGTGGTGTGGCCATCCCCCCTGGGAGGTGATTTCTCGCTTTCTATCTCTCTGTCTCTCTCTCTCTCTCTCTCTGTCTGGCGAGTGCACGCACCCTATAGCAAAAACTTCTAAAAAAAAAAAAAAAAAAGGGAGTCTTTGTAATTTCTGAAAGTTGACTCAAACCTCTCCCCGTGTTCTGCATAGGCCTGGACAAATTTCAAGGCAGCCATTTCCACAGCCGGGATTACAAGGGGGGAAAGAGAGTCCTCGTGATTGGCCTGGGGAATTCGGGATCGGACATTGCTGTGGAGCTCAGCCATCTGGCGACACAGGTACCTGACCTGAAGGGGCTTGGCAGGAACCTAGTCTAGGCTGTTCAACTGGATCAACAGCCTCGGCCCCAGGATGGTGTCACCATGTCACACACAGGAGCTCCTCCTGCCACATGTGCCCTTGAGTCAGGAGGCCCAAGGCTTCGCCATGTGAAGCAGGGCTCTGTGGCCCATGCTGGTAAGGATGTGCCTCCTGCAAAACAGAGGTAAGTGTGGAAGGGCGCCTGTGTGCATGTGCTATTTGTTCTAGTTCTGTGTTCCCATCACCTCCAAAAAGACTGGCTCCTACTCAGGCTCTTTCTGGTTAGTCTAACAGTATTTATTTCACCCATCACAGAAAAGGTAGCACTTACCTCTCTAACGTTCTGGAAGACTCACGCAATTTGGTTTTTACTATCATTTACTCATTCATCAGCAGATGCTCAAGAAATATTGGCACTTATCATAGGTCAGAACTATATTAATTTGTGTCTGCACTTTATTTTTAGTGAATTCGGATATAAATTGGGCTAGGTCCCACTTCAAGGAGCAATCGGTGGGTGGAGGTGGGGAAACAGGCCCGTACCTGAACACGGGAGGAGGTCGGGAGTGTCAGTGACGTTAGGTGTGGTGACAGCAACACGAGGAAGAGAGGATTTAACTAACCTGGGAGAAGTCAAGGACAGCTTCACGGAGGACTCTGAGCTGAATCATATGGGACTAACACACCTGGAAGAAATGGGACATATATTTAAAGAAACAGGCGCTCCATCAATAACATTTTAAATGGATGTAATAAAACCTACAATGTTTAAAAAACTTAGTATTTTCTTAAGTTATCACAATGACGATAAAATAGACAAGTAGCCAGGTTCCCCTCAGGTCTGAGGCACTGCCATGGTTTGGGATGCCCAGAGGTCCTGCAGTACACATGTCAGGGAACTGGAAAAGGAGACCAGGGACAGAAAACCGAATCAAGTCTTTGGTATCCCCTTTGCCTAATTTCAGCTACAGAGTTAGCTACATTTTCCCTACCCAGCCAACCACTCTTCACCACTGGCCTCACTAGGTTGGCTGGTTTCTACCAAACCCGCCATTTTGGCCTGTGCTTATGTGAAGGTTGAACCTGCTGAGTGGAATACAGAGCTCTCTAATTCCAAGAGGGATGTCTGGTTCCTTTAACAACTATGCACCAGTGCTGTGGGTGGTGAGAAGGTAATCCTGCCTTGTGGATTATTCATTACCCTCCCCCCCCCTTAGAAGTGTTTCAATCTGGATATTGGGGAAAACGCATGGAAGTGACTATGCACCAGTGCTGTGGGTGGTGAGAAGGTAATCCTGCCTTGTGGATTATTCATTACCCTCCCCCCCTTAGAAGTGTTTCGATCTGGATATTGGGGAAAACGAATGGAAGTGCCCAGAGAATTCTGTCGTTTTTGCTCATTTTCTACTGAGTGACATTGAAGTCTGTCTTACCAGTCTGTCTTTCCTTACCAGGTGATCATCAGCACCCGAAGTGGTTCCTGGGTCATGAGTCGGGTTTGGGACGACGGCTACCCTTGGGATATGTTGTATGTAACCCGCTTTGCGTCTTTTCTCCGGAACATCCTTCCTTCATTCGTCTCTGACTGGTTATATGTCAAGAAGATGAACACGTGGTTTAAGCATGAGAACTACGGTCTGATGCCTTTAAACGGGTACTACAAATATTACATATTCTGTCATTCAAAGAACTGGTATTAATTAGTTCACATGAATTCTTCCACTTTAGATCTTACTTTAGTTATCCCATTGAGGCTGGAGGCATTAGAGTAAGAATTGCACAGGTAACACAGTGTACACAGAGACCATGTAAGGTTGGAAATCTTACTGAAATTAGTCTAGTGGAGAAAAAGGTATTAAAGAACACAAAATGGGGATGGAGCCTACAGACAGATCACCTGACCAGCAGGATTCATTCAGGGTACCTATGAACCACAGCATAGAACTTTGAGGGCTGAACTAACACTCATTTACTTCTTTATAGGGATAGATTCCAACAATTACTAGTCACTATATCAATACAAAGAAGAATGTTTAAGTGGATAAGAAGTAAAAGGAGGGACTAGCAGTTAGCATAATGGCTATGTCGCTGGACTCCCATGTAGTCGACCATGGTTCGTGTCCCGGACCCAGTGGCTTAAAACTCATGCCGGGCGCGTGTGCGTGTGTGCCCAAGATCCCGAGAGGAGAATGGAGGAGAAGGGATTGCGGCATGGCCATCCCCCATGGGGGGTGATTTCTTGCTTTCTGTCTCTCTGTCTCTCTCTGTCTGTCTGGTGAGCACATGCGTCCTATAGCAAAAACCTCACACACAAGAAAAGAAGTAAAAGGATTCACTAAGAAATTTCAATCTTTAGGGTTGAAAGTTCCAAAAACTTCCACCGTTTAAGAGAAGAATAGGTTAAAGAAAAGTAAGGAGGAATTATAAATCACAATAATAAATAACAGATTTCTAAGCCAAATTCTCACTCCAAGTCACATATCCTACCCAGCCTTGCACATTGTTATGTCTTTGAAGAAAAAAAATGTTGATTTTTTTTTTTAAGAGAGATTTTTTTTCCTACAGGGCATGTGTGCTTGCTGGAGAAACAGAGAGATAGAAAGCAAGAAATCACACCGTGGTGGAGATGGCCACAATGCAACCCCTTCTCCTCCATTCTCCTCTTGGAATTTTGGGGACACACATACGCACACCCAGCATGAGTTTCAACCCTCCATGTCCAGGACTCGAACTGTGGTCAGCCATATGGGTGGGAATCCAGCGACATAACCATTATGCCATCTGTTGGTCCCAAAAATATTGATTTCAATCGCTTAAAATTATGTTTAATATATAGAAGTTCCAAAGCCTGAGCTGGTTAAACTTCTTTGTCTTATAAGATTAATGTCAAATTATCCTTTAGACAATTAAAGCATAGTTTCAGAAATCCATTTGTTCTAAGAACTAAGCTCCACTATGATCCTATGATGGTTTCAATTGCCCTAAGCTGCATATGACACCTTCTCATTCCCCTCTTTGTTGCCTGGGAGGAGACTCAGCAGGGAGAAAAAACAAGTTATTCTGTGACCTACTTTTTATACCTCATATATAAAGGTATTATAAAGATATTTTTAAAAAAGAGTTTGCAAAAAAAGAAGGAACCAGCAAATGGTGTAATGGTTACGTTGCTGGGTCCCCATGTAGTTGACTATGGTTTGCGTACTGGACCCAACAGCTTAAACTCACTCTGGGGACACGTGCATACATGCCAAAAATCCTGAGAGGAGGATGGGGGAGAAGGGACAGTGGCGTAGCCGTCCCTCCTGGGGAGGGCAGGATTTCTCACTTCCTGTCTCTCTGTTGAGTGCACACACCCTAAAGCAAAAATCTCTCTCTCAAAATAAAGAGTTTGCTAAGTTATAGAGGTATAAATGATGTCAGAAAATATAAAGAATAATTCTAAATTTCAGAGTTTCTTTGTTCCTGAGATATTTAGAGGAAATTCCAGGAATTCTTTATTTTTAAAGAATTATTTTTTTACTTAATTGTACTTATTTATTTATTTACTTAAATTTGACCAGAGAGAGACACAGTGAGAGAGAGGAAAGTGAGAAAGCAAGCTACCGACTCAAACCATGGTCAGCCATGTGGGAGCCCAGCGCCCTTAACCATCATGCCACCTGCCGGCCCCAGGAAATTCCAGAATTTCTAAAGGAACCTACTCAAAATAAACTTGTCACTATGCAAAATATTATTCCTAGAATTTTGGCAACTTAAAGTGTAGTACTGAAGCTGTTGGTACTTTCTTCTGGGATTACAGCTGAGGAAAGAAAATCAGACAGGCAATAAAATACCCCACCACCACAAATCTGACTTTCTATGGAGAATAAGACTTTTAAAGTTATAACAACAGTTGACCTCTAATCCAAGAATTTGCATGTGCCAGGCACTGTTGTGGGTGCTTCACAGATCATCGTTCATTTAACTCTCACCACCGCTCTGTGAGGAAGAATCAGTCGGGACCCGTTGTGCACAGATGGAAAGAAATACAAAGAAACAACAGCTAACAGGAGATGGAGGTTATAAACCGGGTTATAAACCTTTGGGTTGTGCTGAACAATAATTTGATTCTCTTCTATTTGGTGACTCTCCAAAGAGTATAAGTACACATATGAGAATCTTCAAGTTTCAAAGGCAAAATAGACAGCTCAAGCAACATTTTGGGGGATTTTTAAATTTTATTTTAGTTGACATGTAATAATTGTACATATCTGTGGGGTTCAAGGTGATCTTTTAGACAAGAATACAATGCGTATTGATCAAATCAGGGTGTTATGCTAAGTGAAATAGGACAGGCACAGAACAAAAAATACCACATTCTCTCATGTCTCTGTGGAAACTGAAGAAACAACCTCATAGAGTTGAAGAACGACTACTACAGGCTGGGAAGGACTGGGAGAGGAAGTAGAGTTCCATTGATTATTGGAAACAAAATTACAGGTAGTTAAGAGAAATAATTTCTAGTGTTACAAGATACAGTAGGGTGAAGATAGCTAACAATTTTACTGCAGATCTGAATAACTAAAAAAGAGACTCTAAGTGTTCTTCACAGAAGTTATTATGGGTCATTACAGACATCAGAAAAGGAGCTGCAAGAAGAGAGAGTTCGGTGGCCCGCAAGCTGATATTTAGCTGCTCAAGTTTGGTTTCAGTGCTCTGGGGCTACTGCAGGTGTTCCGGGAAGTGTGGTATTTCACACCAAGGGCATTGCCTCCCCTTTCTGCACAGTCCCCTTAGGAAAGAGCCCGTGTTCAACGACGAGCTCCCGGCTCGGATTCTGTGTGGCACCGTGTCCATCAAGCCTAACGTGAAGGAGTTCACAGAGACCGCGGCCATTTTTGAGGATGGGACCGTGTTCAAGGACATCGACTGTGTCATCTTTGCCACCGGCTATAGCTATGCCTACCCCTTCCTCGATGACTCCATCATCAAAAGCAGAAACAATGAGGTCACCTTGTTTAAAGGCATCTTCCCCCCACTGATGGAGAAGCCCACCCTGGCAGTGATTGGCCTTGTCCAGTCCCTCGGGGCCGCCATTCCCACAGCTGACCTGCAGGCCCGCTGGGCTGCTAAAGTGTTTGCAAGTAGGTGCCCTCTTCTGCTTCTTATTCACTTAGTGACGATTTCTTGAGCATCCACTGTGGGCTAAATACTGTTCTAGAGAAATAAAGAGGACAAGACAAACATGCTATGACCTCACAGAGCTTAAAATGGGGCACGGGAGATGCCAGAAAAGGAAAGCGCTGAGTGTTCTGGAGGGGGGAGTTGGGCATGAGATTCCATGTGCGAGCAGCAGCATGAAGGCAGAAGGTGAAGTGTAACACGGAATGTGTGAGGCACTAAACAGACACCAGAAACAGTACAGGAGGGGGTGAGTGATAGCGGGTGGGCAACAGGGGTGGGAGGGAGGGGATCACAGGAAATAAAATAACAAACAGAACTCTAAATAGACACGAAAAGTATTAGTTGTAAAGTTATCTGTTGATGATAATGTAGATGATAATGTCTTTGACTTGACTAATACGTACCAGATTTATGCTGGAAAAAGCCATATCGTACACTGTAAAGTGGAACAGTGCTTAAATATAAATAAAAGATCAATTTAAAATATCTTGTAAGGAAATACAAAGCAAAGGCAGAATAACGAGAAATGAGGTGAGGCCAGAGCAGGGAGCACCTCATAAACTACGTCACGGAGCTTAAACCCCTAAGGCAGGGGTTTAAGAGAAGGAAGCAGGGGCAACTACGATGCCAGGTCACTGTGAGGTCGGGAGGACCTGGTGGGTGTTGAAGATGGGGCTTGAGACCTCGGATATCAGCGTGTGTCAAGCTCCCTCTCACCGCACTTACGGTCCTCTCCCTTCCCTTCCTCCACTGGAGACCCAGGCATCTCCAGGGACTACAGGTAGCCTTATGCAAAGAAATCAAGACCTTGAGCATTATCTGGGAAATATGTTGATTTACTTTACTCCATTCATAACGGTCATTACTGAAAATGTCCTTTTATTCAAAGGTTCAAAAATTGTGACCAATGTAAGTAGAACCTATCTAACACGATGTCCATAAAGATCACAATCAGAAGTGTGTATTTGTTTTCTAAAAATATTACAAATAAGAAAGCTTCGATGTCAAATGCACCATGAGGTATCGCTATGCAAATGAACCCGTCATGACACCTTTTGTAAGGGTCACTCCTGAAACTGGTTCTATTGTCTTTTTCTCCAGAAAGGCACAAGAGTGCCAAGAGCCTGGGACTTTATAAGACGACTGGGTACAGCTCATACACCCAGGAATTTCCTTGAGTCAAAGGGTATCTTTTCTCATCTAGCACATATTTTGGGGATACCTACTAGATGTCAAGCTCTGTCATGGCACTTGGATACACTGAACAAAACAGGTCAAGATCCTGTTCCTTTTCTTCCTAGGGGGCACCTAGCATGTGTCTAACTGTGGGGACTACCAGGCTGAGCTAAGAGGACAGAAGTAATGAAAAGTGGTCGTGTCATGCCGATGCCACCAAAACTTTCTTCCCATTAGGGAAGGCAAATGAGCTTCCATCAGCAGTCAGAAGAAGTCTCCACTGCTACAATGAAGTGTGCAAAAAAACGGAAACTTCACTGCTGCCCCTTAAAATGTCTTTCCTGGCCAGGCTCACACCTAGACTCCATGCCTCCTTCCATTGTCTTTCTTTAAGATGCCACGTACCCAGGGTGAACAGTTTTACCAGATTTAAAAAAAAAAAAAAATAGTAGAAAGTGCATGTGACACAGAGAGCGAGCAAGCGAGTGAGAGAGAAGCACCCTTGAAAGAGTCACCTCAGCCTCAATCCCTTTTCTCAGTCCATGGCGTGTGCTCAGGCCGACCTGGGGACCTGACTGCAGTCAGCCGCATGCTCCCAGCCTTGCCGGACTCTGTTACTGCTGCACCATGATGGCTGAGCTACCAGATTATTTTTCTTTTCTTTTCTCTTTTCTTTTCTTCTCTTAATAGGTACATGTGCTCGCCTGAGAGACAGAGAAAGACAGCAAGAAATCAGCCCCCTCTCCCCTGGAGGGAATGGTCACACTCCAATCCCTTCTCCATTCTCCTCTCAGGATTTTGGGCATGCACATACACGCTCTCAGCATGAGTTTCAAGCTGCTGGGTCTAGGACTCGAACTGCAGTTGACTACATGGGAGTCCAGCAATGTAACCATTATGCCACCTGCTGGCCCCATCAGATTATTTTTTGAGAGAAGTTTTAATGAGAGGATGCAGATGCAGACAGTATACATAAAGGAACCATTAAGCTATTAAATGTATTCCCAAGCGATTTGGGGATTAGGCCCTCCATGATGTTATGAACACGTGAGATTGGGTGATGGGAAGCTTTGAAATCTCTCTAGTCGTGGTGCTAGTCATTATGGCAACTCCCAGAGAAGGTCCAGAAACTTCTTAGATCTTTGTTTCTTTCAACTGTTATTCCACTAAAGACCAAACAAAGATCTTCCTGACACAACAGTTTTTAGAGATATGGTTCATGAACATTGAATGACTTCCTCCACGTATTATTACATATTTCTGATCTCTCTGTCTTTTAAAATATGTCTTTATTTCTCTCCTAGATTTATGTACCCTGCCAACTACAAATGAAATGATGGATGACATTGATGAGAAAATGGGGAAGAAACTCAAATGGTAAGGGATTGTACCTGCTGATGAGGCAAGTCCTAAAGTTCACCTGCTTATGTAGAAAACATTAGCGTATTCTACTATGTACAAGTTCCCATTTCTGAAGACTTACCATGATCAGGAGTACTAGACAAATAAAATCACCGAACGTCTCCCGTAACGTCTAGAGCAGGAGTTCTCTGACAGGGACAGGTTTGCCCTCCAGGGGACATTGGCAAAGTCTGGAGCCATTTTTGGTCATGGCGGGTGGAGAGGACACACTACTGGCATCTCAGGGGCGGAGAGCTGAGCAGTGACTGTGCAGTGCAGAGCACACACCCGCTGTCGTACCTGGCTTACCACGTCCGTGGTACTGAGGCCAAGAAACAAACGCACAGCTCACAGGAGAAACTGCATCAGCCACATGTCAGCAGGTGAGCTAGCTGGAAACCGAGCAGTAACATCTAGTCGCTGCAATAAGAAAGCCAAATGAAAGCTTAAACTGAGTCCATGTGCCCTAGTATTTAAAAGATTCATCCAAATGTGTGCTTTCAAGTACAACATAAATGGAATTTTTAGAAAATCATTTCAAAACAAATAAGCATAATGGTTCTGTCACTGGACTCACACGTAGTCAACCGCAGTTAGAGTCCCTGACTCAGTGGCTTAAAACTCACTCTGGGCACATGTGTGTGCATACCCAAAATCCCAAGAGGAGAATGCAGGACAAGAGATTGTAGCATGGCCATCTCCCCTGGCAGGTGATTTCTCACTTCCTGTCTCTCCTCTCTAGCAAGCATGAGCACCCTATAGCAAAAATCTTTCTCTCAAAAAAAAAAAAAAGTCATTTCAGTAGATAGACAGCACATATTTAAATACACTTGTCTGTGTTGATCACTTCTATTGAAGTACATCATTTTCAAATTATATATCAAAATCCCTTGAAAGAATAATTAGGTAATAGGTCACAACTAGGTGAACAAGTCAGTGTGTAGGGGATTTATTTCCCCTTTCAAGCCTTTGACGGGACATTTACTGAATGCTCCAAGGTGGTGATGGTCTCGTGGCCTATAGAAGAGAAGTTTATGGCAAAATGGAATTAAAGATTGAATTTATTTTGATGAAAAAAAATTAGAGCCTATGCATTGTTATTTCTTTCCTTTTTTTTTTTTTTTTGGTTTGTTTTTTTTTTTTT